TTTTATGCTAAATGTTTATCATTTTATTGTAGAGTCCTGTAAGATCCTTCAAACAATACAGCTTTTTGAAATTATAGGTTTCTTTAAAAATAATCCCTCTTACTTTCTCAGGGATAATATTTTAACCAGCAAGGACAGATGCAATGTTTTCTCACACAAATACAGGATAATTCATTAATACACATATGAAAGGAAGAAATCTAGATTCAACCTTTACCATCAAAGGCCTTAAAAATAAAAATAATCCATGCAGCCTCTGGAGATTTGAAAAGTCAAACTGGTTTTATCACTCACAATGCTAAGGTGCTAAAGGAGCCTTTTCCGATTGTCAACTAGTGACTGTGCTTCAGGTCTAGTTGGGTGAAGGAAAGGCATTTAAATTAGAATCCACCTGAGCATTTGGAATGACAGAATCACATGTGGAAAGGCTGAAAGGGCCTTTTCTGGCCAAACAGTTCAAAACATAACTATAAAAATCCCACAGAATCGAGTTCTTTCTCTAGGTTACCTAGCTGGCTAAAGATAAATTTGATTTAAGAAGAAATTTTGTAATAGAAAAGTTTTTAAACATTCATCACATTTCAGAATGGTTTCATGGTGGGCTCCCTCATGATGAGGCTGAGTATTACCAGCTGTGTCTAAAATGATAGCAGAGTATGCTTTTGGATTGCTGAGCATCAGGATAAATATTACAAACAAAAGCCATCAATTACCTGGCAGTGTCCACCTGCAGAGTCTCTCCCATGGAATAAGGAGTTCTGAAAGACTATTTATAAGTCCAGTTTTTGTCAAGGGCAAAGTAACACAAAGTAACAGGATGAACTGCCCACAGATTAAAAAAAAAAAAAAAAGAAGAAGAAGAAGAAGCCAACCTATTTTTAGTTTGGTGCATAGCTTTGTTCTTATCTATAGATGTTTGTAGGAATGAAATTTTGGTCCCAATTTTTCTATCAGTAAATAGACCAAGCATTTCATATTACAAGCATACTCTCTGTCTTCCTTTTGGTTCTCCACAAGTAGAGCCTGAGGCAAAGATTTATGTACACAAGATACCTTGAGGAGTGAATCTCAGGTAAAAGACTGAGATAGAGCTTGAATAGAGCTCAACAAGAGGAGGTCTCAACTGCCTTGCAGTTTTAGGCTGAACACATTGGGAGAGGTGGAGCTTGAAGTGTAGAGAAGACATCTGTGGACAACAGTCTTTGGTGGTGGACATGTCACCCACCAAGAAGGATGTGGACAGGGAACACCAACAGGATCCTCCACAGGCTTATTGTGAAATTTCCTGTCTTCCAGATATAGTTTGTTATTTACATATTTATTACTTCACTAGCAACCAAATCATAAAATTATATCCCTCATAATTTGTGCAGGCAGAATTTGAGAAAAAAATCTGTACTGTTACATGAGGAGCATGAATTTTATAACATGAACTCATTTTTTATTATGTACTCAAGTTCCAGAATACTCTCCAATAACATCTTCCAGAAAATCCCAAAATCAGTGAGCCTCAAGCTTCACATTAATAAAATAAAAGAGGAATGACAGTACCTGCTTTGTATGTTTATTCACTAGATTAAGAGAGATAATGTACACATTTCAAAACACCTAGAAGTCTTGAAAATTAAACAACAAACTGGTCTGGACAATTTTTAAGATTGAGAGCTAGATTGTAAGAGAAATTATAGGAGTGTGTTAAATATGTAGATGTTTGTTCAAATTAAGAGCAATAATAAAGAGCAAGAAAACTTAGAGGTGTCATTTTCCTAACACTCACAGAATTAGCGGTTTCACACTCATTATCTCAGTTGATCTGGGTCAAAGTCCTATGCAGGAGTCATGCTGTAGTTCTTATTCTATCAATTTCATAACAGGTTTAAGGGGGTTGAGAAGTGACCCAGTTTCATTCGGCTAAGTATACGATAGAAATAAAAGTTGAACTCTGATATATCCATATCACAAATTCCAGCATTGAACAATTCCTTAGTATATCATCAAAGACCTTTTCAGCAGAACAATAGCTAAAACTGGAGATTGAACTCAGTACCTTGTGCTTGCCAGGCAGGCACTTATGCTGCTGAGCTATCTTCCATGCCCTTAAAATTAGGATGATAATATGTTTCTTTTTTCTTTTTTCTTTTTTGCAGAACTGGGGATTGAACTCAGGCCCTTGTGCTTGCCAGGGAAGGGCTTATTCCACTGAGCCATCTCCCCAGCCCCAGATAATATGTTTCTTGTGCTGTAGGAGCTTTGTGTTTGTTTTCAGGCAATCATTGAGGCTTTGCTCTTTGTGTATTATCATTCTAGTGTCTCTTGTTCTGTGTGAAGGAAGCACTTCAGACCTGACAGCACTACAGCTACAGAGCGGAAGACGAAGCTGTGGTAGTTCTTCCTCTCAGACTTCTCAATTCAAGTTTCAGAGAAGATCTTTTAACTTTGTAGAAGAAATTTCACTTAATGGACATAGGCCATTTTTGCTTCCAAAATGAGTAATAGTAAACATGCTTGTAACTATCCACAGCTGGACACAGTTCATCCCCAAAAAGAAGGAAAAAAAATATGAAGAGACAGAAAAGTCAGCAACAACATGAAAATTGATTTATCTCCATCTAAATGGAGGCATTTAATTTCTAATTTAATTTTTCTTATTTTTTGTCAAAGAAAGTTATGTTAATGAACAAACTTCTAGGTGGATGTATGTTGAAAGCAGAAAAATTAAATTAAAATATTGTAGAGATTTTAAGAACTATTTTTTGTTAAGAATTAAGGAGCAAGAAGAAGAAATGTAAAACTAAATGCAGCACAATACCTTAATTTTAGGTGTAAGGTATTCAACTGGTTTAAAAAGTGGACAGAATCCATAACTATAGAGAAACTTAGGGTCATAACAAATAAGTACTATGTACTATATGATATCTGGCTTACAGAGAGTCCAACTTGCTGTTATTAGATGTAATTCAAATCATGTGTGTACCTGTTATGGTTTACACCTAGTTGTCCCCCCAAATCCTCATGTAGTTATGCAGTGGACTCTAGAATTTGTAATTAACTCATGATCTCCTGGGATTATGGGTATGAGTGCTTCTGGGATTATGGGTTTGAGTACTACACCCAGCCTGGGGCAGATAGTGTGAATGCAATTTAAGGGAGACAGGCTTGCTCTCTGCAGCCATTGTTGCTGCTACTTCTGCCCTTTGCTCCCTTCTCTTTCCTTCCACCATGAAAGGCAGCTCTCTGCCATATGCTGCTCTGCCTTGGAGCCCCCTGAGTATTTGCTCAAACCGCCAGTAACTGTGAGCTAAATAAACATTTCCTTCCTCCATTTTGAGTATTAGGTATTTGTCCCATCAATGAGAGAAGAGTAACTGAGACAGTACCCTCTATAGACATCTGGGGGAAGTCTTTGTTTCTGAAGATAGATGCATAGATAGATAGATAGATAGATAGATAGATAGATAGATAGATAGATAGATACAAATATACATTTATTTTATGAGCAAAATGAACAATTACTCTGGCAGAATCATTAAAAAAATCTCTTGAAAAATTATTTCTTGTTATAACATAAACATTTATGTTATTTTTATCCCTAATATTTTTGCAAATGATTACTTTTAGAAGAAAGTCAGAAATCAGTTTTCATGATTATCTACAGAATACTAAAGACTTAAAATTGTCACCAACCTTTGTCCATATATATTCCTTAGCTTTATAAACATATATATGTTCTTATGTGCACAGATATAAACACATTAAACTATAATTAGCAATGTGTGCATAGATGTACATGTTTGTGCATATGAATGTGTGCCTATGTCTATCTGTCTGTCTGTCTATCTATCTATCTATCTATCTATCTATCTATCTATCTATCTGTCCATCTATCTTCAGAAACACTTCCCTCAGATGGTCAGCATACTCAGGCAAAACTGGATATAGAAGATGGAATCTCTGGTATAGAACAATTTTTTGGAGCATGAGATTTACCCATGAGAAACAGACCCAATTATTGATTCATAAATCATTTTGAACTGGGAACTAAACTCAGGACCTTGCACCTTCCTGGCAAGTGCTGTAGCTGAGCTATGTCTCTGGCTCCCAGATTTATACATCTGCTCATGACCAAAGCAGTTCTTCAGGGAAGGTTTTGGCACATATTTATTAAGAAAATTTAAAAGCATTTGTCTTTTTAAAAGTAACAGACATTCTAGACATCTCCCTGAGCCCCCAAAGAGTAACAGCTAACATACTGCTTCCCTACATAGCCTCTAAAGTATAGGGGTTGGACAAATGCAAGCCTTCCACATCAACAGATATAATTATTCTCAAACAAGGCTTTCATTGAATCCAATATGAAACATTTCAGTCCCTGGAAACACTATATATAAAGGATATAAGAAGCAATATGCCTATTGTTCATCTGCTAATGTCCTGAAATGTCACCAAGGTAATTACTTGGATGACATTTATGTGATGCAGCTGGACATTGTTACAGTTAATATAAAGCCTGCCTCTGGCAACCACTTTATTTCCACCTACGTTGCACTGTGTCACACTGTAGGTAGATGATCGGTTTTCCTGGAAGAACACTTACCTCCCCCAAATGACATCTCCACCCCCCGTTATTTCTTCTTTCCCTCTGCATGCCAATATCCAAAGCAAAAGAAAACTTCGAAAAAGGCAATCGCATTGCCTGACACATGTTTATCTTAAAATTTATAACTGGAACATTTAGAGGTGCTTCCAAGAATAATTTACAAAATATGATAATGCTCACATTTTCTTTCAATTTCCTGTTCCTTGAAACATGTATCAATTATCCCCTGGAGTCTAGATTCACAAAATTCATACTGTCAAAAATTTCTACAACCATAAGTTTGCATTTTCTCTCAAAAAACAAATGATCAGCCAAACTAGATCTTTTCTTAATATTATATTATAGAAACAAAGGAGTTTCAGAGACAAAGGAGTCTAGATTCTTCCATCCCCTACCAACTCACAGGCAAACTGAAGCTTAGCCTTCCGACTCAGAATCGTCCCCAGAAGGTTGGTCGCCAGGCACTGGTACGTGCCAATATCTTGATCTGTGTGGGGGCTACTTATGGCCAGTCTGCCTCCATCCAACTTGTAGTGATAACTCTTGGTAAAATCAATATCAGTACCATTTTGCTTCCACCTTTAAGGGAAAGAAGAAAAAATTACACTTATAATACACAGAGTCAAATGCTGTTTGTCTTAAATAACATTCAATTGTAATTCCTACAAACATAAAATTAGAACAAAAAATACAGTTCCTAACAGAGGTGACCCTACTAGTTTCCTCAAAATTAACTAGAGTACTTGAAGGCTCTTGTACTCTTTAAAACTCGTAAACTGTCTCCCAAATGTGTACAAAGAAGCAACAGATTGCCTAACAAAAGAAATAAAAAATAGACATTCAGTCAGTAATTTCTCCCAGCCTATTCCTTTAGTCTTTTCAAATATTGTGTACCATCCCTGAAATCTCACAACTGATGCTACAAAATTGAATGTCAAAAATGATTTACAGGTAGAAATCCAAGAAGGGTATATTATAAATGGCACAAAGAAAGCCAGCAAAGATTTTACAATGCCAATTGGAGGCTGACAGCAAAACAATAATACCCTGACTACTTCAGAGCACTGTTGTCTCTGTTAGTCTGTTACATGGAAAATTAATCACACTGAAAATATTTCAATGGTGTTTAGGAATGCCAACCTAAAATTATATGCTAGCAAAACAAATGCAGCTGGAGAAGTTTTTATTTCAGAAAGAAAAAGTCTTGAGCTTAGCTATTAATCAATAATCATTGAATAGATACATTAACTAGCTGAAGTGCACTGGAATAATATTTATTTTCTAATAAATATACTTTAAGGAATTATGTTTGGTCATTTTAAAACAAGTGAATAACTAGTCATGATTTTTAATTAAATTCATTCCCCCTACCTTGTTCTTCCTAACTATAGCCAAATTGCCAAATACTTTATACATGAAGATTGGATATACATTTCTAGGGTACAAGCTCTGTGTAGTCACACCACCAATTTAGGAAATTGACATTTAAAAATAGTGAATCAGAACAACTAATTGAGGAAGTGCAAAGGCATTTTTCCTACTCTTTGATACATTCACGGCTGAGGTCCTTACAATGATGAATAAAAGAAAAACATTCAGACGTATATGGTACAAATTTTACAGGAGATGCCAAAATACAATAAAACTGCATATTTTTCCACTAAGCTTGATCAAGTGTACACAGCTCTCAGAAGGTACGTATAACTGAATTAAAGGAATGGAACCTAGTAATAATAAACAAGATGCGAGGGACATAATAGTGTCTGCTTGTATAGATGTTTACGGGTGTCTTAGAGTCTTTTTAGATGAAGATATTTCTTTCTTCTGGAAAAAGGAAAGGTACCTTTGGAAAAAGTTTCTATGACTTGCTTGATTCAAGGAAATAGGATGAGGGGAAGATGAGAGTGATCTTCTGGCTTCTATTACCTTCTCGCATGTGAAGGTGTCATACTTTTGGATAAAATGTCCTTAACCACCCCACAGTTACATAGAAAAATCAAAGGAATATATGACCCCTTTTTATGCAGTGTACCTAATTTAAAATCATAAATAAGACTATATGCCAGCTTTCAATGATTCTGCTCTTCAAAATGAAATCATATTAAATATTTCGCTGGAAATATTAATTTTAGGAAAGGAATAATCTTTTATAGAATTATTTCTAGGATTCAGACCTAGCCCAGGCCCGGGGAGTGTGTGGGAGAACTTCTGGCTACCCTGCTCTGGTGGGACCTGTCCGGTCCAAGCCCAGGTGCAGCGTGGGTGAGACCCTCTTCCACCCTGTTGAGACCACCACCACTACTCCACAGTTCCCCCCAATCCTGCCCAGTGAATGAGAACTTCTAGAGTGTTCTCCGGACCCCCAGATCCAGCCTAGCCCAGGCCCAGTGATTGTGTGGGAAAGCTTCCTCTCCACCCTACTCCATCTTGTCCCCTTCTGACTCTGCTCAGGCCTGGCATACAGGCCTGGGGTGAAACTCTGTTGCTGTAGTCCCTGCAGAGAGAATAGAGGACAGAACCAACCAGCTAGTCCAGGAGCAGAACATCTTGCCAGAGGGGCATAACAGGTTCACTCCTAAGGGCAGCAGAAGGAAGGAGTTGAGCACAGCAGCAAGACACGAGCCAGACAGAGCTGGATACACTCAAATTTGTAGATCTGCACCTGAATTTCAGTAGGTGCTAAGGTTATAACTGCACCAAAACTCAACAACAAAGGTCAGAAGACAGTGCTATACAAAATGATAATAAGAAGGAGAAAAATGAAATCTCAGACACCAAGCCCACCTATAACAAATGCAGAAGACACTAACACAGAACAAATTGGGAATCACACAGCTGAAATCAATGAATCAACAGCTTCTGAAATAAAGAAAAAACTGCAGAAAGGTATAGAGGAACTCAGACTGGAAATGAAAAAAAAAATTCATGAATTAATAGCATCTGCAGTAAAGAATCAAATGCAGAAACATATGGAGGAAACCCAATGCCCACCCAGATCAAGTGAAGAGGACACTAGACCAGATGAAATGTTTGAATTAATAGCATAAAAAGTAAATAAGCAACAGCACAAAGTTATAGAGGAACTTAGAGCGGAATTCTTTTCTGAAATGAAAAAATAATTCTCTGAACTCAGCATCTGAAGTAAAGAATCAAATACAGAAACATGGGGAGGAAACCCAATCAGAAAAAAAAAAACTATGCAGTAAAAGAATTAATAACTGTTTCTAAAGAAGACATTGATTAAAAAAAGAGGAGATTAGAAAAATGACAGATTCCTTGAATGAGCAATACAGGAAAGAAATAGATCGCATGAAGCAGAGTCAAAGAGTTATAGACAAACTTAAAATCTCAATCACAAGCTTGCCAAACCATTTGAGTGAAAATGAAGACAGAGTTTCAGATCTTGAAGATGCTGGTGCAGCTAGTGAAAAGGTAAGAAAATATCTCTTAAAAACACCTTGGATGCATGAAAAAACAATTCATTACTTGGAAGACGATGTAAAGACTAACAATGTGAGACTAATAGGCATCAATGAGAAAGAAGGAGTCAATACAAATGACATTAAAAAATATGGGAAGAAGTAATAGCAGAAAACTTCCCAACTATGAGGAAACAATCTGACATTCAGGTAACTGAAGCACACAGAAAGCCAAGTAACCTCAACCCAATGAAAAACACACCGAGACATATAATAGTCAAGATCCCAGAAATCCAGCACAAGAATAATATACTGAAAGCTGCTAGAGAAAAGAAGCAGATCACATTCAGAGGAAAACCCATCAGAATTATGGCCAACTTCTCTTCACAAACCATGAAGGCAAGAAGAGCATGGAGCAGAGTACTTCAATTCCTCTATGAAAACAAATTCCAGCCCAGACTACTATACCCTGCAAAACTCTCTTTCAAGTTTGATGGAGAAGTGAATTACCTCCATGACAAAGAACAATGAAAGAATTTCACAATGACAAAGCCAACACTGCACAGGGTCCTGAAAGATGTTCTACAGAGGGGCCAAAAGGATCAGAACTCCATGAATGAGATCAGAAGCAACCCAAAAAAATCGGGCAAACAATGAAACACAGGAGAGAAAAAGGAATAAACAACAACAGGTAAATAACATGTCAATCATAAGTCAATACATCTCAATTCTAACCATCAATGTAAATGGACTCAATTCACCAATTAAGAGAAATAGACTGGTACAGTGGATTAGGAAACAAAATCCAACAATATGCTGTATACAAGAAACACATGTAACTCTTAAAGACATTCATAGGCTGAAAGTCAAAGGATGGAAAACAATACTCCATGCCCCAGCACCTCAGGAAAAAGCAGGGGCAGGAATCCTATTCTCAGACATTCTCAACTTCAAACCAACAATGATCATGCGGAGGACACTATAGAGTGGTTAGGGGAAAAATACAAGAGGAAGAGGTAACACTCATAAATATGTATGCACGAAACACAGGAGCACCTAATTATATAAAGCAAATCTTAATGTATGTGAAAAATCTAATATCCAAGACCACAATCTTAACAGGAGAAATTAATAGACCATTATCCCAAAAAGATAGGACAACCAGACAAAAAATTAGAAAAGAAATAATAGAACTAAACCAGAGCTTGAAGCAAATGTACTTGGTGGACATATACAGAGTGTTCCACCCAAACACAGGTGAATACACATTTTTCTCAGCTGCACATGGGTCATTTTGAAACATAGACAACATATTGGTCCATAGGTCATGCTTAAGTATATGCAAGAAAACAGAAATTATCCCATGCATCTTATCTGACCACAGTGCAATGAAGCTGAAAATAAATGACAAAAGAAACAAGAAAAAAATCCTAACTACATGGAAATTAAACAAAACCATACTCAGCAACAAATTGGTCACAGACAAAATTAAACAAGAAATTCAACAATATCTACAATTCAATGAAAATTCAAGGGCAACTTATCAGAATTTATGCGATGCAATGAAAGCAGTTCTCAGAGGGAAATTTATAGCCGTGAACTCACACATTAGGAAAACAGAATGGGAACAAATAAACATCCCAATGCTGCAACTCTAACAGCTAGAAAAGGAAGAGCAAACCAAACCAACATCCCAAAGACGAAGAGAAACCATAAAGATTAGAATAGAAATTAATTCAATTGAGAGGAAGAAAATAGTGCAAAGAATTAACGAAACAAAAAGCTGGTTCTTAGAAAGATTAAATAAAATTAATAAGCCCCTAGCTAACTTCATCAAAAAAAGGAAAGAAAAAATTCAAAAACAAGCAATAAGGAATGAAAAGGGCGTAATTACCACAGACCCAGTGGAAATTCAGAAGATTATCAATAACTACTTTGAGAATCTTTACTCTCACAGAATAGAAGACACAGATGAAATGGACTGATTCCTAGAAAGGTACAAATTACCAAAAGTGAATCGACATGATATAACCACTCTAAATAGCCCAATAGCAGCCAACGAAATACAAGATTTAATAAAAACCTACTGACAAAGAAAAATCCAGGTCCGGATGAATATACTGTTGAATTATACAAAAAATTTACAGAAGATGCAGTCCC